GTAACTCGACTCGCATCATGGACTTATCGCTGGTTTCGCCCAGTGCACAGGGCCGAGCCTTCTGAAGCGGAGTGATTGAACGCTTCCAAGGATATTTGTCAACACAGCAGCCGGAAAGGAGTAGGAAGCCGAAAAAACAAAGCCAGCGAATGGCTCTTTGTTCCCCCGGCGATCAGCGTAATATTTATTTCAATAAGCAAAGTGCGTTCCATTGTGGGCGTGCCCAGGGGCGCAGACTCAGGGGAGCGAGAGAGAGAGGGGCATATGGGCGGAGAAAGAGACGGGACGAACTGCTCCGGCAGGTGACAATCGCGGAAGTAAAACGCCGTCGCTGACGACGTGATTTCAGCTGTTAAAATTCGCCGTCGTTATTAACGTGTTCGGTAGCAGCGGCGGCAGCGGCAGCGGCAGCAGCAACGTGGCCCAAAGACAAAAGCAGCACTCGCATAATATGGTTAAAAATACTTGCTACGCATTTGGAGCACTCATCAGCGGGGTAACAGCCACAAAAACAACACAAATATGTAATAACAAACAAACGACGAGTGTCTGAGCCGATAAGATAAGGCGTCCAAAGGAAATGAATCAAACGCGTGGAAAATGGAAAAGCAAAGAGATTGAAAAGCCAGCAAAGGTTCTGTAGATTAATTCTATAATTAACCAAAACATACTCTACACTCGCTTCATAGAGTTTATCAACATGATTATTTATATGGGCGTCTAAACTTTGGCCTTTCCAGATGTTTTTCTGGAAACAATTCCCTGATAAGAAGGCTCTTTTAAAATTGTAATCTACATAATTTGGGAATCAAAATGGCATGATTTACCTCAGCCCTTTGACCTTGCTCTATGCAAGTTAAAGTGCACTCTTAATCATCAAAGCTAACAAGAACAGGAAACACCACTCGAATAAATTGCAAAATCTTTTTATATCGTGCAAGTGCTGCCAGTTAATTTATCGAATTCAATTGTCGTTGCCTAATTGCTGCGACTCGAAATGCAGCTCATTACCACATATGTTAGGGAAAATCTTTGGGCTAAAGTGAGTTATTCCAGCTGATTTGCATTTCCCTCGCCGAACCAATTTCCATGTCACGTATTTGCGTATGCGCATCTAATTTACCGAGCTGCCAGGCCCAAGCACATACATATGTACATTCGTACATACATTCGTAGTACATGCATATATGCGAAATATGGCTGTGCTAAGCTTAGAATCAAACTGCTCGCCCGTACTAAATAATAAACACCCACGAGCCGCAGAGCAAAACAATGCAAAGGGGGCCGAGCGGGGCTCCCATGCAACAGCGCCAACTGCAGCCAGTCTCTGTGGCTGTAGCTGTGGCTGTGGCAGCTGCAGTGGCGTTGCTAAGTGCAGGGGTTTCCATTGCATTGGCTTCTGCCGCGGTGTGTGCCAATGTCAAGCTGCCCCGCCGGACGGAGTGGATGGCACACATGGATGCCAGGCCAGGCCAGGCACAGCCGGGGCTCGGGCCCAAGAACTTTGGTTATGCAAAGAGCGTGTTCGTAAGTCTTGCATCGCCAGCAAAAGTTTCGGATCCAACACGCCCACCAGCACGCCCACCCCCAACATGTGTATTTGTTATTGTCTTGCGCCAGGGCGGGGCGCCTGGCTAGATTCTAGCTAACTAACTAGGTGTACCCATTGCATTGCTCTCTCTGTTTTAATTCGCTAGATTTTTGCATCCTAAGCTATAGGGTAAACTAAACTATTGTAAAGTAATCCCATCTTAATTTTTAAAAAAACATATGATGGGTCACTATTATTTGATATTTCACGGAATCTCAGTAGCCTAATACCACTCAAGATTCGCAAAGAAATCCGATTATTCTTTCCTGACAATATTGAAAGGGTTGAATAGTTTGACTTGTAGTTGTTCCACAAATGCAGCATTTGTGCAGCATAAAACCACCCGCTAGTAAAGCGATGTACTAAGCGAATCGACATTTTCATAATTTGGCTTTTTTCTAGCCAGACTCGATTGGGGGCCCACCAACACCGCTGGAACACATGCGCGTGTACGGCTTAGCGGAGAGCGCTTGTGTGTGTGCGTGCGCTGCGACAGTGTGCGTGTGTGTGTGAGCGAGAGAATTTTATTGATTAGTCACAAGGCTAAATAAGCTACCGAGTTTACTGAGCAGCTGAGATTTCTAACAACAATCACAATAAGAACTTCGCAACTTTCCAATTGGACGGCCCAGGTGTGCAGGAGAAATGGCCAATTGGAAGGAGAAATGGCCGAATCCCAACTTGCAATACAGACGATGTGTTCAAAACTCACCTTTAATTGCGCCAAATTATTGTCCCTCGCTGCGTTGAAGACAATGAATTTGTAATCCATTTTTGTGATTCAGTTATTTGGCATAAATGCCACAGCAACCAGCTTGTTGAAAATTAATGATTTTCCTTATAGTTTGGCGGCGAAAGATGTAAATTTGTGTTGCTTTTGCTTTGCTTCTTTCTTCGCCTTCGTCAAGAGAAAGAGAGGGCAAGCGCGAGCGAGTGAAGGAGAGCGGCGAGATTCTTGAGGATGCTGTTGCTGTTGTTGTTGCTGCCTTTTTTCCCTAGCAATTTATTTTGATGTGTGGTCGATTTTCTGCACAAAAGAACTTTCCAACCGAGCGAATATATGTATGTACATACATATATGTGTAACGATTGCGATTGCGTTTTGCGTTTTTGCCCGTGCTTTTTATTGCTTCCGTGTCTTCCTGGCAATCGAATTGCACACAAACATACATATATCTTTTTGCGCACTTTGCATTCGTCTTTCGTGCTTCCTTTTCTTATTCTTCTTTCTTTTTCTTTTTTTTGTTCGGTCTCAGGAAGACGAAAATCTCATTTCTCTACTTCGATTCGCTGGCGACTTTAATTCTAGCTCTCTAAAACGGTTACTAGAGCATCAAACGGCACACTTTTCCGATCCGTTGCGATTCCACATAATATTCAGCACAAATCTAAATCCCTTCCCGAGTTTTTCGAAAACTCGTCCGACAGCCAGGAAAGCAGATCGATTGTGATGCTCTGAAATCGCTCGCGAGGAGTCGCGCTGTTTTGAACCGTCCCGCCCGCGAATGGAAAATAAAATGCCTTTTTTCAGCTGTGGCTCGTCAATTTTTTTTTTTTGTTCTTTCGCGTTAGGCGATTTTTTTACGTGTGCGAGAGCGGTCACACTTGAACCTTTGCTAGTATTTTTATTTTTAGTGGCCGTTCCGATTTCTACACATGTCGAGAATTGCCACCCTGATTTCTACATGTGCATATTCGATTGTTATTATCGAATGGAATCGAGTACACATGTATTTACCTCAGTATGGCATCACTCGGCATCTGCATAAGGTAGGCTGGCAACTCTCAAAGTGAGTAACGCAGCAATCAGCATCTGACACTCACTGACGCAAGATCACTGCCACAAAATCCGGATACTTGAATTTGAATTTCTCATTAACTTTATTTTACTTTGGTTTATTTATTGAATTAATTCCATACAATTTCATATGCAATTTGTATTTGTTTTCATTAAATCATAAACTGTTACATTGTTTTACATTGTACATTTGATTATGTTTTACTTAATTGGTATTATTATTTTAGTTCATATTTGTATATATTTTTTTGTATGTATGTATATGTCATATGGTTATGTTTATTATGCATACATATGTGTGTGCTTGTTCCAACAGAAAATTCCAAACAAAATGAAAACAATTGGGTTTCGATTAGTTATATTTAAACGGATTATTCTTGAGTTTCTGCTTACTTTGATTAACGTTTAAACATATTGTGTACCATAATATAATTAGTTAAAGCTACAACTTAGTGCGCATTCTTGTACTTCAGCAACAACTACAACAAAAGATATGACACATAAACAATAACAAAAGGGTTGATCGTTCCTAACAACAACGAACATATAAAATAATTCTGTTAAAACATTTGTTGTTAAACAAAGAAAATGTAAAAGTTTTATTTTCATAATAATTCATTTTTTTTGCTTTTACTTTTTCCATTTTTTATATCACAAGTTAAAATTTTGATTATTGTTTGGTCAATTTTATTATAATATTTATATGTATAGTACTTGTATATATATGGTATTAGGTAGGTGTGTAAATTATGTACATAAGAAAATATACTAATAGCATAATTTAATAAACATATTTCCGTAAGTTTCTCATATAAATTGGTCTAGATAATCAAGTCATGGAGTTTCATTAAATGGGGTTCCTCGTTTGGTGTGAGGAATTGGTTGAGTTCTAGTTTTAGGGGACTTGGTATACAGAGCAGTACTAACGATACGAGTGATATAAATTTAGTTTAAAATAGATGTTTTAGGAGATTACAGAGAAATTCGAGTTAGTTGCATGCGTTAAGTTAAGAGAGTGTTCTTTTTATGATATTTAATCGTATTTTATTTAGAAATATGTTTTAGGAAGGTCTTAGAGATGTGGTGGCATGATTAAGGTATAGGGATATATAACACGATATGGCAATTGGGAAAAATATTAAAAGAATATCGCAAGTGCACTAAAAATCGACGAATGCACACATTTGCAGAATTTTATCTCTGAAAGATTTGAATTGATATGTAAAATTGTACGTTATTTGCTAATTCAAAAACTATAATAGAAGTGAATATTCTTTGGAAGGTAAGCAAGTCCCAAACCATGAGCTTTCAGATATGTTCAAGATATTTAGGTTTAATTCCTGTGAAAGATTCTTAGCCATTCATCCGTGCGTCGACATAAAATTGCGATATGTATTTCGGCAAACATATCCCTAAGATCTTTAAACACACTCCACCACATCGACTAAGATCCCCTCCCATGAGCTGCCACATTCCAGATTCGATATTAGTCGCAGGAGAGGATACAGCGTGGCTAAGCCGAGAGAGCCATCAGACCATCGATTCCCTGACGCGGCCCTTTACCTGTAAGTTAGTTTCGAGAGTCGAAGTATTTTTGGATAAATATGTATGTTTGGGGCTTCATGCACATCTAGACGTAGGTGGTGTAAGGAGATTTACACATAGACAGACGAACGTGCGATATGTCGGGACTGGATAAATTGCTATTTCGGGTTTCACTTTCACTTCTGACTTCGCTTTCGATTGCCTCTCCACTTCCGCTTCCTTCGCTCTCGCTGGGTTATGGAGAGAATACGCGCAGGGATCTCAGCAGAGTGGCCAGGACATTGGCCAGACACTCGGCCTGCAGCGCCAATTGTCCAGCGCCAATGGGTCCGATCTCAACGCCCACCAGCTCCCTGAAACTACTCGCCACATCGTGTACTTTGAGCACTATGTTCCTGGTTTGCAACGGAGCCGAAGTGTGCCTGGTCATGTCCTGGGCCAGCTCCGTAATCCGTCGAATGGCTGTCAGGCAGGAAGTCAGATGTTCTGGCAGCGTAATCAATGTCATGTCCGACATGGAGGCCACCAGGAACTTGCTAGCCGTGACCAGGGCCAAGGTCTGTTCGGTCAACTCGTTCCTAGCGCGTTGGAACTTCTCCTCGTCGATGGAGGTGCCGCCTCCTGCCGCCTGAGCCACCGAACACTGGGCGGCAACCTGGTCCAACTTGATTAGCAGACCGGCCATGGCCACATCCGTTTTGGCCAGCAGCGCCTCGCCATCAATTAGGTGACCGTTTTTAATGAACAACTTCTCGCCATGCAGCTGCTGTGGTTTCTTAGGGAGCAGGGGAAGTGTTCCATTGGCTTGGTTCAAGTGGGGCAGACGAACGGTGGCCGGAATGGGTGGTGAGTAGTGGGCAGGTGGTGCTGATCCGGGTGATGAGGAGTTCGGAGAATTCACTCCGTTCGAAGGACGCGGGCGACAGGCGATGGGCGGCAACGGGGGTTTCTTGGGACCACTCACCGGGTTCGTGGGACTGTTCTGGCTTCCATCCAGCGTGGGACTTCCCCGCGGCGGCAGCTGTGGCGGACAGAGTTCCCGCCGCTCCTGCGGCTGCATTACTGGGCTAGCGGCTATACGCACCTGTTTTTTGGGCGAATAGCGCTGCAGGAGCTCGGCACTTTTCGGTGGTCTCGCCGGCGGCGGTGAAAGTTGCTCGGTAGTGGGTGTTCTGGGCGGTGGTTGCAGTTCCTCCTGACCCGGCTGCTCCTCCTTTTTGCTGGTGGGACAACAGCTGAACTTGCTCTTCCTCTCAACAGTGGCGTACTCGATAACGTGGGGTGAGTGACTAGCAGTTCCATTGTTGCCGTTGGCCACCGATTGGAAGAACTCCCTCTTTGCCTGAACAGAATTGCTATACAGGCACTCTGTTTCCACTGGAGGAACCACCTGCTGTTGCTCCAAATTCGGCGGTGGTGGTATGATGAACGACATTATCTCCTCGGGTGTCAGTTCCTTGGCGGGTGTCGCTTTCTGCGTGGGTGGTGCCACCATAATCTGTTGCAGGAAACTGTCCAGCTCTTCAGCCTTGCCCTCGAATCCCTTTGGGGGAGCTGCATTCATCAGGGACAGGGAATCCAACTCATCGGGGGTTTGGGGTGGCGGAATGGCACGCAGATCTATGAGATCCGTATCGGTTTCAATGAATGTATCTTCCCTCACTTCAAATCCATAAATCTCAGAAAGCTGACGGGCAGCAACGTCCGTGTCCGCAGATGCCGCATTGCTAATCTCCTTCAGCTGCTGCAGATACTCCCTCAGATTGTAATCCTTTGTTTCGGCGCCGAAATGTGTGCCATCGGGACTGTGCAAGCCAAAGCTGCTCCTTTGCGAGAGTTGCTGTTTGGCTGGTGCTCCGGATCCAGAGGATGATCCTGCTGCCTGGAGCGACATCATTTGTGGTCTTCTGGTTGTAGGAGATTGCGCTGGTGAGGCCACGGACTCCGAATCACTTTCGCTCTGGGAGAAATCGGTGCCCAAGGCTTGCAAGTCACTCAACAGCTGGCTAAAGCCATTCAATTTCCTTTGCGGTCTCGGGCTGGAAGTGCTGCAGAGACTTGGCTTTCGCTTGGGCGTCGCTGGAGTCGGAGGAGCAGATGTGGAAACTGGAGCAGACTCGGGAATGGAGTTCAATCCCTGGGTTATGCCACTCAACTCGTGGTTAATGGTCTCCGCCAATAGCGTAAGGGAATCACTATGTTTCAGAGGATGTCCTGGCGGAATGATTACTCCTGGTCCCAGAATAGTGCCACCCTGCGAGCCCTCCGTCGAGGAAACCTTACTGCTGTTGAGACTATCGCAATCCGAATCGAATTCCAGCATGGCCACGCCTCCTCCGCCTCCGCCGCCGCCGCCCTGCTCCTGTTCACTCAGATATTGCTCGGAGGTCTGAACTAGGTGCTGCAGTTCCTGGACCCTCCTCAGAACCTGCTCGTTCTTAGCCTCCAGTTGATGGCTGCCCAAGTGGCTGCGTCCCTCGCAGTAGTTGCTACCACTGCTGTCACTCAGTCCCGAATCCTTGGCCGCCTCCTCCAGCAGCTCGGTGGCCATCACACTGTGCAAGTCCAGGTCCATGACGTAGGGCAGTGAAGAAGGCGCCTGAATGGAGGATTGCTGCTGGAGCTGACCCCTTTGGATCAGCGGATGGTAGGGTGGCGCCATTAGGAAGTTAACGCTGTGCGCTCGAGTGTGGAAGGGAAGCAGGTAGCTCCATCCCGCTGGGAGCACGGTGTGCTGGGACAGAAAGCCGGGCGCATTGTCCTCGTCGTTCGGTTCCCGTTCTCTCAGGATATTTAACACATTTCCTGGCATAGATATGATATAATAATCGCATTGCAAATATAAATCATTGAATTCCTCACCTGTCAGCAGTCGGTAGTAGCCACCAAGGACAAGGCTAAATTCGCAGCCATCCCGATCCTCCATTGTGAACTTCACAGCTCGATCTCCGAGCATGAATATGGATACGCTGCAGGTGACATCATCCTCGCGATTCACGACCACATGGGTGAAGTCCTCGATGGCGGAAATAGGCTGGGGCTGCTTGGAAACAGCAATAAGCTATAGAAGGTTCCACATTCAACAGAATCGAGATAGACTCACCACCGAGTTGCGGGCACTGGATATTTGGCTCAGTCCAAAGCGTGGACTCACCAGCAGGACGCGCTCGACGCCCTCTCTTTGGTTTGTGCTGAAACATTTGGCTCCATAGCTTGGTAAGCTAGCGATTATATCTAGATAATGGAGTTTGGCCTGCCAACGATGAACAATATGAATTTATTTGATTTTCTGACTTAAAGTGCATTTTGCTCACCTGCAGCTGTGTGAGAACCTTGCTGGAGGATCCCGTCATTTCCGCGTTGAGCTTCAGGAAGTGAGAAATCAGCCGGCGCAGTTCCTTCCGCTTCATGCCCTCGAACAGACTCACCGGCACAAAGCGCTCCAGTCCGAACTCACGTCTGAAAGAAGTCAGATTGTTGTAGTCATAAGAAGGCGGTGTGGTGTCTCAAGGATGCGGCTGAACCTACTCGACCAGTTTGACGGTGAGCTTGGCGGGCGCAAAGTTGTTGGCCAGGGCGTGCTGGTGCATGTGGAGGGCGGCCAAACGCAGGGCCAATTCCGGCTGCAGCTCTGGGGCGAATCGCTCCTGGTTGACATCGTTGCAGCACTGCAAGTACAGGTAGTCCAGGGCGTGCAGATCCCGCTGCGCCAGTTCCGCGGCCGAGATGGGCACGAAGGTGATGCGGAATAGGCATCTCAATTTGTGCGCTCCCGGACGCGCAGCAATCTAGTAAGGAAAATAGGCGGAAATGCAAAAATAAATGCAATTTCGTCGTGAGAAAAAGCATATTAAGTTATCCTCACCCTGGCCAGCGACTCCTGCGGATCCAGCAGGGTCAGCTTGTTTCGCTTGAGGCTCTTCACGTGCTCCAGCACCAGGCTGAAGAGCTCGCCACAGCACAGGCATAGCTTGTCCAGCAGCGAGCTGACCACGTCCTGCACCGTAGTGGTGGCGTCGTACTTGAAGGACTTGGTTTGCCCGTTCTCGAGGAACACCTTCAACACATTGGCCATCGGGGGTACGCAGATGTCGCCGAGGGAGAAGGCCGAGGGCTGAAATAATAAAGAATCCATGCAAATTAATGAGCAAAAGATTTGATTCCACTTGATTCAGGCCTTTAAAAGGCTGTACTATTTATTTAATATGTAATTTGGGCGTTTATAATACTTTTCGTGTGTGTCCCACGACATAAGCATTTTGAGAACCCAAAAGTTATATAACTTCATATACAAGTATGTATATACAATATAACTCACCGGGAACAGTGGAGCTCCGTTGACGCAGACACTTTCGGCAAATCGAACTCGACTAGGACGCGACCTCAGCTTGGCGCGCTTGCCCGCAGAAAGCAGGGTGGATTTTCTGCCCGGAAGGACGCAGTGCGCCATGGGCTGGCACACCAAGAGATTGACCTGCGCCTCACATGCTCGCACCAGCTGGATGACATGGTCGCGCGGCGCGTCCTTCACATCCTCGCCATTCACCGCCAGGATCTGATCGCCCGGCTGCAGTTTTCCGATGCTGGGGCCACCCTCCGTCACAAATCGCACGATTACGGGCCGTTCACTCCCGGCCACGAATCCAAATCCCAGGCTGGCGTTCCTCTGGAGTTGAACATGTCGCGGTTCCGGAGGATGTTCATCCCAGCGTATGCACTCGGGCGCCTCGTAGGTGGTCGTTTTATTCAGGTGGCTATTCAAGGAATTCGGTTCGTAAGATTATATATGACATTGTGGTGGCATTATACTCACTTTATATAGTAGGAACGACCCTTGGAGTCTATGGCACGCTCCCAGCCATAGGAGAGCTCCTCGTGTTTGCTCCAATCCTCGCAGGCTGGCAGCCAACCCGCAGATTGCGTCATGTGACTAAAGACAAATGATAAATAAATATTTTAAATATTTGGGGCTTCGATTCCTTCCTGTCACTTATTCAAGAGGAAGTCAAGTTATTATCATTTTGCATTCCTCAATATGAGACATGCAGTAGTAATTCAACAAAGCAAATACAAAAGAGCTGGCCAAATATGGATAGTGTATACGGAAACGGAAAAGTATCTGTATTTACGTAATAAGTACAAGAAAAATAGAAAAAACAAGTCCTCAGATTAAACATAATATGTTGCATGTATTCAAACATGTCATTTAAGTTTCAAACTATTTAAAGGATGTGTAGGTACAACAACCATCTTGTGGTAAGTAGCTACATTGCTTTCCCCAATTGAATAGCTCCTGGTTGTAACCTACACTTTGCTCTTCTATTTATCTTTTCTATTTATAAATCATGCAAGAACTCGCCCACTTGCACTTGACCCACCTCCCACGTTGACCCTGAACCTGCGGTCAACTATTGGCCTGCCACCACCACAGCCTGCGGCAAAAGCCCTTGTAGCCACGCCCATCACAACAACAGCAGATGGCTGTTTGGCCCTGTGGGTGAGCTGGAAATGCATTCCAATTGACATTAATCAGAGCTAATTGGGTTATTTGCTCGACTTTGCAATAAACAGCAGCCCATAATCGGGCCGCAGAGCTAAAACTAAACCTAGCCCCAATCCACAGCCCGTTTAAAGGCAGCTACAGTGGAACCTCGACCAAGTGTACCATCTATATTAAGACCCAAATTGCTTTCTAACTTATTACAGTCCCCAATTGGGACTGCTCATCTTACATTGCACCACTTGTTGACTTTGTGTAATATTTAGAATCCGTAGAAGTGTCCACCCAAAATAATGGACAACTTATGGAAAATTTGACTTTATTGAAGCTGGACTGTGGGATCCCGGCCAGATCCCGATCCCCCGAGCGAGCGCCCCAGCCAAATCCAATTGCGACCCACATCAGCCACCTTGGTGGCTTCCGTTGCTGTCTTTCTTCATTTCCTGACTGCACACAATTGTGATAATTAGTTTTGCACTTTTGCACACTCTCGGCGGGCAGAGGATTGGCGGGTAGTGGGTTTGGCAGTGGGTATGGGCACCCAACGGGTATGGCATCCAACGGCTCTGTTCACTCATTCAGTCTATCGCCCCAGTGGCACTCACCCAATCCCGCATCCAAGTGCCGCCTCCACTCCTCCACTCCTCCCGCTTCTCACGCCCCGTGCCCCACTCGCCTTCCACTCGGTTATGGCATTTTGTGCGCTTTCAGTTTGATGTGCAACAAAGTGTAAAATTATTTAATAGAATTTCGTGCATAATCAATTTATGTGCAGCAGAGAGCCCAGCCAACATTCAGTCGCCCATTCAGCGTCCTCAGCCACGTCCAAGCCATCTAGCCACATGGCCACATGGCCAAGCGAGGAACAAAGTCCACTCGTCCTTTCGTCCTTCCGTCAGTCAGTCAGTTAGTCATTCAGGCAGTCAGTCAGTCAGTCAGTCAGTCAGGCAGTCAGGCAGTCTGTCACTCTGTGAGTTTTCCAGTTCGTCAGTGGGCCACCATTGAAATGCTAAAACTTTGCCCATGCTAATGGCTAAATAAATGTCCGACTTTCTGCTTTGTTAAATATTCCTTTTTGTGCGTGGCGAACGCAGAAAAGTGGCGAGGTTATTAGACTGGTTTTTGAAAAAACCACGAACGAAAGTTTGCCACAAATAATAAATGTTGCAGTGCAAAAATAATTATTTCTAGGTTCGTCTATTGAAATGTTTCAACCTGCTAGATTTATATGTATACCCGTTACTCGTAGAGTAAACGGCCACATTTGTTGTAAGTATGTAATGTAATACTGTAAAAAAATGAAGAAATGCCCCAAGGCTGAAGTTCTAAACTCCACAACTCAACTTATCTTAATCGGATTAATGTTTCTGGCGCAATTTTCTAAAAATCTTAATTTAAACTTAGAAATAGCATTCTATCTTGTTTTTTTCTGATGTTTTTATTGCTATATATTATTGTTAAAACTCTGAAAGACGGCAGGATATTTAAGCCTTAGAGAATGCCTAATTTTCACAGAGCATAAATCATTTAAAATATCTTGAAACTTCTGAAAGGAATCCTAATTGGCAATGGCAATAAATTTCATTTTGGGGAGCGGTAATTTAGAAACGTACAAAACTTTGTTAATTGGCCATTTAGTAGCGAGTGAAATCAATATTGCACAATTTAAAACCATTAAAGTGTTTGCTTACGCATTTGGTTGATATTTTTGAAAGCCAACAAAGTTTTTGCGACATTTACGGCATTTAAAATATTTTTTCGATTTCCTGAAAATCTTATTGACTACTCACTTGCAATAGTAGAGCCTGCCCTCCTTGCCCACATGAACACTCCAGCCGGGCTTGAGCTTTTCCTGTATGGCCTCCAAGTGTCCATCAATTTCTGGCCAATTTTCGGCCATGCCAGCGATGACACCCCCATGACTTTGACCCAAAAGTGGCCCATAGATGCCGGTGCCGCAGTTAGTTCCATTTGCTAACCCAGAGCCCAGCTCCGTCGATGCTGTGCCCTCCACTCCCTGACATCCAGATGTGGCTGGTGTTGCTGTTGCTGTTGCCATTGCCGAGGCTGTTGTTGCCAATGTCACTGGGATTCCGGAGGATTGGGGCAGCGAACATCCGTTGGAGCGGGTGGGCGTGGCATGGACAACAGAGCCATTTGTTGTCGGCAGCGTTGTCAATTGAGGAGATGATGTTCGTGTCAGTAGCAAGGGCTTGGGCTTGGACGTTGCTCCTACGCCTCCAACTCCGCCTGCTCCTCCCGCGCCTCCAGTGGATGTTGCTCCTCCTGTCGATGTTGCTGTTGTGTTTGCGGCATTTTGTAGCGGATAGACATCACTATTCGAACGCCCCGAAGGCAGTAACATCATTGAAACACATTCGCTGCAAAGAGAGAGAAGAGCAGAATCGGGGGGCACATAAGTCAAGTTGTTGTCGGGCCATTTTCACACATTGTTCGATCCACAAATCACATTCCACTCCACTCTACTCCACCCCCCTCCACTCCACTCCAATCCGCGACCACGACGACCGACCCACTTTGGCCGCAAACAGGCTCCTCCATAATTCAACATCCAGCTAACAGTCTGAAGACAGACCGACGGCATTGCCTTTTCTGCTACGGTCTTGACAAAAAACCAAACAGGTCCCCCATAACAGACATGCCCATTACCATGGTCACCATGATCATCGGGATTGGTGGGATAGGTTCAGGTTTTAGGCCAACTTGTTTTTAGTGTTATGACACAATTTTCAATTTGCTTTTACTGTTTGGTTTCGTTCTCTCTTTTTGCATATGTTTTGCTCCTTAATTTGGCAATGGTGCAGAAATGGTTTTGCCATGGCTGAGGAGGAACTGGTTTCGAAATGGGATCAAATAGTTGGCATGGTTTGCGAAATGGAGCTCTTGGGTGAAGGATCACAGCGATAAGGAAATGGAAAATGGAATACGAATGAATTCAAGAGAAATCCAGACTAACAGCATTCACATTGATGGTTTATTATTATTGGTAGAAACAGTATTCGATTTATATCAAAATTATTATGACATTGCAGTTGGCTTAAAGTCGTGTAATCTGTTGCCAAAATATTTGGTTTATTTTCAAGTAAATCCATTTAGTTTCTGGCATGCATGCTGAGTAAAAACAACATATCAAAGAAACTAAAGCAAACTTGGACCAATTCGTTTTGGGCAAACCCATTCCAGCATTGCAGCCGAATTTATCAATCCCCGCCCACATTGTTTACACTGTCCAAACTCCTCAATAATATCAAAGAGCATTGCATTTGCATAATGTTTAGATTTCAACGCCACCGACAGCAATTCGGCTTTTGGCTCTGACATGGTTCAGTAAATGGATTGCAAAAAGATTTTTTCAAATTTATTCCGCACCGGAAGGCGGCAGGCGGGAGTGTGGCAGTTGAGGAAGTTGAGGAAGTTGTGGCAGTTGTGGCAGTGCAGGGATAAAACATAGATACGTCTGCCAAAAGTATATGTGCATGTGGGTGTATGTATGTACGTCTGTATGTGCGTCTGTGTGGGTGAGTGGCAATGGCCGATAGTGCGGCTAGTTGGCTGAGTCCAAACAACAAGCCGCCAACAACAAGAGGACGCTTGCAAAAATGGATGTGTTTGTTTGCTTGCGCAATTTCACTCGATGGCTTTTCTGGCGGAAACGGGCCGCAACGGAAAAGGAGTCTGCAGAACCGGAGAACTAGAGTGGATAGATGCGACTTCAAAAAACCAGATACGACAGATCCCAGCCAAACAAAGAGACATCCATTAGGCGAGCAGAGTCGAGCTTGGTCCACGATGGATGTGGAAGAGGAGCCGCCGGGGGACAGCTCATCAACTTGCTCCGTGATAATGACAGGGAGCGACGAAAGGAATGGGCTCTGCACTGGAGGGAATGGGGATTTTCTTACAAATAGTTATTCTAACTAATACCCTCTTGAAGTTGGTTAAACTGTCAACAAATACTCATAAAATACTTATAGAAGCAAATATTAGAAGAAGGTTACTTTCCCTAACATTTCCAAGCATTGGCTAACAGCTAACAGGTAATTGGAAAATTAAAAAATTTATAATTCATATTTTTAAATTCTTATTTGATTACTGTCAGTTTTTTGCAGTGCCAGTAACGGCTTGGCAAACAACGGCAAGCGACCAGCGCGACATGGTCAAGTTCCTCCTGCGACTTCTTATGTGTATTTTTCTCCATTCTTCCTATGTGGTGAAGAAGTTTTATAAACAACTTTGCAGACACACACTCGAACACTAAAAACTGGAACACTTGAACAATGTTTTGAATTACATATTTTCTTTGTTTGGGAGTGGACCAAATGACAAGTGCAAAAATGTTCATAAAGTTGTTCTCCCTCGTTTTTCTTTTCTGGGTTAGGAATGCTCGACTACGGAATGTTGATTTGACTCAAGACAGGAACTTGTCCAGCAGTTGAACGGACCCCCCAAACGGATCATGAGCCAAAATATTTCGTTGTATATTAAATATTCGTAAAATATCCATATCCATACCATATCGTAAGCTTGTGTTTCAGTGAAATTAGTATCCCATAACTCTCTAAATACGTTCAAGTTCCCATGGAATTTCACGACTGCTTGACAAACAAAAATCAATTTAAAAAGATCACACATTCCCCTCCCTTGGCTGCCCACAAAAAAGGCTAAGAATTTCAGTTAGCATGTGCAGAGCTAAGAGCTGAGAACTCAGAACTCAGAACTCTTAGCCGAGCAAACATTTTCGCTATCGTCAGAAGCTTTCCACATCCCATCCCAGTGTAACCGATACGAAATTCGAAAGCGGTTCCAGCTCATGCCGCCCATGCATTTGGACACCAAGACCAAGCACAAAAGTTGTCAAGAAAGAATGGGGGGTCGCTTTTGGGGCGGGCTGGTGGCTATCGGGATGGGGCTGGGTGGGGGTGGTGGGTGGGGTAGTTGAAAGCCGGGACAGGAAGAGGGGCCAATGGAAACGGGAGCGACACTTCCAGCGAATGATTTGTGTCAACAGAGAGAAAAGGCAGCTGAGAAATGTTTATGCACGTGGCGTTGCGAGTGTGAGTCTCTATGTGCGATGGATGACGTCGGGGCAATGACAGAGATCAGTAAATGGAAACCACACATAGCACACACAGCTGCGGGCAACATGATAGGTAATTCCAACCTCTATTTAATAAGCTGCATACACCTCTTTATGATTTGGAAATCAGGCTGAGAGTTTCAAATATGAAATGGCGCTGCATTTGCTGCAAACTACTTCCTGTGTATTAACAAGGTAAATATTTGACATAGAACATTTAATTGCCGCTTTAAAGTAGAAAATTAAAGCGATTTTCTCCAAAACCCTGTATTTCTCATAGTGATTGCTATCAATCGGATTTCTTAGGCAAATAATAGTTGGGAAAGTTTTAAATATCAAAACGGATAGTTATAAAAACAATCAGCCAAACTTTAACCGAAACACAAAGCTTGGAGCAGCATTCCGCGTCATCTTTAAGATATGAAAACGCTAAAAGGCACACTTAAAGATGTAATTCTTCGGATAACATCTTGATTGCTATTATTTTGTCTGCAAGTGTGCGGGCCATGGACAGTTGTAAAATGTCAGTGCGGAAATTGTGCGGCAGTGAAAAGAAATAAATGAAAAGACAGCAAGAGTCTGATGATGGCGATAACAAAAAGCGAGCAGCATCAAGCACGAAAATGTTGACCAGCAGTAACAAATAAAAAAATAATAACAAACAAACGCTGAAAAACAAAGTTAAGCTCTGCAAATTGTCCCAGTTCCGAGGGCTTAAATGAAAGGTGGATTGTTATTGCAATTTTCCCCGTCTGCCGCCCAAAACCTCCTTTTCTGCGACGATGGAAATTCTCCTTTGTGGAGAAATTAAACACAATTTGTGAATGCATTTGTTATTCGCATTCGCATTCGCATTAAAGACTCCAGCAATTTGCAGCTCTTACAGCAGCCCAGTTTTACCCCCCATTTCGCATTGCTACTCCGGCTCTTACCAATTTCGCTCCGTTTCGTTATTGTTAATTGAAAAGAAATTACGGCGGCACAATGAAATAAAATTGCTTGACGTTATTTATTTTGCCGACGCTGTCGCTCATTTCAATTACATTTAACACAAAGTAAAAGTAAAAAGAAATGGGCCTGCGCATATTAAAACATAATACGTATACTTCATATTTGCACTGCTAAATATTTTAATGCAAATTGCCTGTAATCTCGGTTGATTTTCGGCTGAAGTACTGAAGTGCTGAAGTTTTGTTAGGTTCACAATGATATCTGTGCACTCGTTTGCACACCACGTAATCGATAAAATTAAAGCAAAACCTTTAACCAAACATCAAGCTTAGCTCCCCGATGGAATAAGCATGTGCCAGCCATTTAGTTAGATCGTTATAGATGCACATGCGATGCGATGGTGTGCGTGGCCATATCCATTCCACATCCATATCCACATCCACGTCCATATAGACACGGCACCCATAACTACCCAGGCATCGATATATCGGGATATCGCTGCCGTGGGTTGCGGTTGAACGTGATTCTCGAAATGTCACGCACACACGGCAAAACGAAATGAAAGAAAAGCAACGGCGGTATATCAATTTGTTTTATTTTTTCGATTTGGTTGGGGCAGGGGGTTGGGGCACTCGAGGTACATTCATGAAAACGCTTTCGCTTTGGACGGCCAGCGATAACATCCATTCATAAAACTTGGCAACTTGGCAACCCGGAGCAACCCTGCCATGGCAACGTGGCTCTGATAAGGAGCGAGTATCTAGATAGTTTTGAATGAGGAATCCGGCAGTGCAACGCATGCAAGCTTTGCTGGTGCTCGACGTGAGATTGCACAGGAATGAGGGTCTTCCAACTATCAGATTCTACATTTCATTCGATGTATTTGCCATTTATAATATACAGGCGTAAGCTTAAGTAGTGAAAAGGTTTTATGTTCTAATAGAGTTGAGACATTATTTGCTTCACTCACCCTTTTGTGCACACAGACTAAACATTAGCAAATTGATTTCCTCAGGCTCAAGTTAATGCCCAAGCATATTAAATGCCAATTGGAAACTTAAGTACATGCAACACCACTTAGCACTATATTCAAAGAAAATATTTGCATTTCCCAGCTCTTTGTAGCTGTTACAGCTTCTCAGTAGAACGAGAATGAACACCACTTAAGGCCAACATAACATATAATCCAACTAATTCGTACCGTCATTAACCGACTAATTTCACACTTTGAGCTGGGATTTCCCAACAAAAGCGCCGGCATCAAATGTATCGGAAAGCAAGGAGAGAACAATGTGGCATGGGATTCCTTTTTGGCCAGCGACTCATTAGCAG